TGTGTTCGGGTAGTTGCCGGTGAGGTAGTCATTTGGTGGGGTATCTGAGCTTGGGATTTTATTGGCAAGATTGGTGGAATGATGAAGTAAAGGGGGTAATAAAAGAGAAAAAGGTAGCTTATGAGAGGTTTTTACAAAGCAGAAGTGTTATAAGAAGAGCAGAGTATATGGAGAGTAAAAGAAAGGTGAAGAGAGTGGTGAGAGAGTGCAAAAGGAGAGCAGATGATAAGAGTGGGAGAGGCACTGTCAAGAAATTTTAATGAAAATAAGAAAAAATTTTGGAGTGAGTTAAACAAGTTAAGAAAGCCTAGGGAAAGTATGGATTTGTCAGTTAAAAACAGAGTAGGGGAGTTAGTAGATGGGGAGAGGGAGGTATTAGGTAGATAGCGAGAATATTTTGAGGAACTTTTAAATGTTGAGGAAGAAAGGGAGGTGGTAATTTCATGCACTGGCCAGGGAGGTATACCATCTTTTAGGAGTGAAGAGGAGCAGAATGTAAGTGTGGTGGAGGTACATGAGGCATTACATAGAATGAAAGGGGGTAAAGCAGCTGGAACTGATGGGATCATGACAGAAATGTTAAAAGCAGGGGGGGATGTAGTGTTGGAGTGGTTGGTACTTTTGTTTAATAAATGTATGAAAGAGGGGAAGGTACCTAGGGATTGGCGGAGAGCATGTATAGTCCCTTTATATAAAGGGAAAGGGGACAAAAGAGATTGTAAAAATTATAGAGGAATAAGTTTACTGAGTATACCAGGAAAAGTATACGGTAGGGTTATAATTGAAAGAATTAGAGGTAAGACAGAATGTAGGATTGCGGATGAGCAGGGAGGCTGCAGAGTGGGTAGGGGATGTGTAGATCAAGTGTTTACATTGAAGCATATATGTGAACAGTATTTAGATAAAGGTAGGGAAGTTTTTATTGCATTTATGGATTTAGAAAAGGCATATGATAGTGGATAGAGGAGCAATGTGGCAGATGTTGCAAGTACGTATATGGAATAGGTGGTAAGTTACTAAATGCTGTTAAGAGTTTTTATGAGGATAGTGAGGCTCAGGTTAGGGTGTGTAGAAGAGAGGGAGACTGCTTCCCGGTAAAAGTAGGTCTTAGACAGGGATGTATAATGTCACCATGGTTGTTTAATATATTTATAGATGGGGTTGTAAAAGAAGTAAATGCTAGGGTGTTCGGGAGAGGGGTGGGATTAAATTATGGGGAATCAAATTCAAAATGGGAATTGACAGTTACTTTTTGCTGATGATACTGTGCTTATGGGAGATTCTAAAGAAAAACTGCAAAGGTTAGTGGATGAGTTTGAGAATGTGTGTAAAGGTAGAAAGTTGAAAGTGAACATAGAAAAGAGTAAAGTGATGAGGGTATCAAATGATTTAGATAAAGAAACATTGGATATCAAATTGGGGAGGAGGAGTATGGAAAAAGTGAATGTTTTCAGATACTTGGGAGTTGACGCGTCGGCGGATGGATATATGAAAGATGAATTTAATCATAGAATTGATGAGGGAAAAAAGGTGAGTGGTGCGTTGAGGTATATGTGGAGTCAAAAAACGTTACCTATGGAGGCAAAGAAGGGAATGTATGAAAGTATAGTAGTACCAACACTCTTATATGGATGTGAAGCTTGGGTGGTAAATGCAGCAGCGAGGTGAAGGTTGGAGGCATTGGAGATGTCCTGTCTAAGGGCAATGTGTGGTGTAAATATTATGCAGAAAATTCGGAGTGTGGAAATTAGGAGAAGGTGTGGAGTTAATAAAAGCATTAGTCAGAGGGCAGAAGAGGGGTTGTTGAGGTGGTTTGGTCATTTAGAGAGAATGGATCAAAGTAGAATGACATGAAAAGCATATAAATCTATAGGGGAAGGAAGGAGGGGTAGGGGTCGTCCTCGAAAGGGTTGGAAAGAGGGGGTAAAGGAGGTTTTGGGGGCGAGGGGCTTGGACTTCCAGCAAGCGTGCATGAGCGTGTTAAATAGGAGTGAATGGAGACGAATGATACTTGGGACCTGACGATCTGTTGGAGTGTGAGCAGGGTAATATTTAGTGAAGGGATTCAGGGAAACCGGGTATTTTCATATAGTTGGACTTGAGTCCTGGAAATGGGAAGTACAATACCTGCACTTTAAAGGAGGGGTTTGGGATATTGGCAGTTTGGAGAGATATGTTGTGTATCTTTATACGTATATGCTTCTAAACTGTTGTATTCTGAGCACCTCTGCAAAAACAGTGATAATGTGTGAGTGTGGTGAAAGTGTTGAATGATGATGAAAGTACAGTGGACCCCCGGTTAACGATATTTTTTCACTCCATAAGTATGTTCAGGTGCCAGTACTGACCGAATTTATTCCCATAAGGAATATTGTGAAGTAGATTAGTCCATTTCAGACCCCCAAACATACACGTACAAACTCACTTACATAAATACACTTACATAATTGGTCGCATTCGGAGGTAATCGTTATGCGGGGTCCACTGTATTTTCTTTTTGGGGATTTTCTTTCTTTTTTGGGTCGCCCTGCCTCGGTGGGAGACGGCTGACTTGTTAAAAAAAAAAAAAAGTAAAATGTAAATAATAAAGCTAGTAGTTTGCTCCTAAAGCAGGAAGTACTTGTATAGATGAGGATAGAGAAACAGTTCAATTCAGTTCAATTCAATTCAATTCGAGTTTATTGTCTATAAGGGTTACAATGTTGGGTTTACAGGTTTTGGGTATTGTGTGGTTTACTTGTTATAAAATACTAATTACAGAGGGGGCACTAGGACACCTAGCATGGCTAGGCATTTCGAGCAGACTTAGATTAATTCTTAACATTAAATCCTTACAGATTATGGTATTAAGGCTAAGTGACTACATCATAATTTGTGAGTTTAGCAATGTGAATGCTTTTGTTTTGGCACAATACAAAGTGTCTATATTGGAGTATCATAGGCAAACTTATGACTAGTTAGGAAAACTTATGACTAGTTATGAATCTGTGTAAATTCTAATATATCCTTCATGAACATGGCCCACTGTATGATTAGCAAACAAGATAATAATGCAGATTTACAGATTTTTGAAAATTAAATTCTTACTATGAGCATGTACGTATTGTCCTCTGGGGACTATTCCTGAAACTTCTTATTTGTAAAGAAATTTAAAATCAATTGTTAAATCTTTTAAAGGGTACTAAAAATGAACTTCAAAAACTATAGAAAAAGGATAAACAGTACAAATTAGGGTAATATGGCTTTAGAACAGAAAGATATTATCATTACCAAATTGTAGACAATTGAAGGCACTGTAAATTGAACATAAATGTTGTATACAATACACCCAAGAAAGGTTCTTTGATACTGGTGAGGGGCCCTTGATGTAAGGAATTGGACCTGTGCTCCAATTCTTTGAATCAAGCCTGAATGCTTTACATTCCCCCAGGAGTTGTATAATTCCTGTGTGTTTAATGCTTTCCCATTGATTATGGTGATAATGTTAACAGTATACAGATTTTGTTGAGGCATTTGACAGATGTAGTGACTCCACTGAAAATGAGGTTCAAGGAAATAACAAATGAAGTAGGGGAGTAGATAGGAATTTTCTTGTAGGAATTGCTTAGTAATAATAACAAAGATCAAACACAAAACAGCTCAGTTTTGCAAGGTATGGTAATCAAGCCCATGCTTTCTTTCTTGTATGAAATGAAAAGAAAAAGTGATCAATAAAGAACAGTTAAATGGTTTTGAAATAATGTGTTACTGTATTGGAAATGCCAGTAGACATAGGAATTTGTGAGGGACCTCTAATAGAGATTGAATGGGATGTGAAAAGTGAAATATCATACAATACCGTATTTATATACTAATGTTGTATTTGTAGTAATTGTGTATTATTAATACAGTACTGTTAGTAATACAGTACAGTATTAAGAATACAATACTGTGAGAATACAGTACAGTACAATATTAAGAATATAATACCATGTTAATACAATACAGTATACCCTCGGTATAGCAGATTTTGGTAATGCAGAATAAAATCTGCTGGGTAAATTGATATGGAAACAATGGATAAAATCCGTTGGCCACAGAATTGCCTGTTATTGTTATGATCGTGGCAAAACAGTCTCATCTTTATTTACAACAATTACCATTACCAGCCATGCTCTCCCCCCTTATTAAACTGTTAAATCAAGAGATTACTGTTGTGTATTAAGAATGCAATAATGTATTAAAATATAATATTTACAGTTTTCTATGACCAAAAAGATGAACCTTCTTGTCTCATCTTTTACTTTCATTATTGTTCTCCATTGGGTGGTTGGTCAGTTAAGCTGCTGTGCAGTGCTACTACTTTCCATTGCTGCTTATTATAAAATTGTAGACCTAATTTTATTTTAATGTTTTACTGCTTTAATCTCTTCTTTTTTATTATTATTATTTCTGTACATTGAAAAATTGAGTAGTGCACTTTTTAAAAATTCATTTTTTCTTTGCTTAGCATATATTTGCATGTTTTGCAGAATGATTTTTAGCACTTTTGAATAATTTTGTATATTAAATGCATGCATTTATTTTACATTTTTGTATACTATTTTAAGAATGCTCTATGAGAAATTTATCATATTTAAAAATGGACTTCCTGACATAACATTTATTGCATCTATAATATTAGACACAATCCAGAAGACTATCTTAATTGCCAATGAGAGCAGTATTAGTATAGAAACAGAGAAATTTATTACTAAATAAATTATTGGTCCTACAAATTATCTCTCGGTTAGAGAAAGAGCAAACCTGGAAAAAGAATTGGCCCTTCTTTGACCTGGCTGGAAGTATAATGCTTGGTAAAGATTTTTTATTTTCAGTTTTTGATGCAGGAGAAAAATAATTGATTTTGAACATGGATGTCAGTTTGCCACTAACAAAATTTAAGGCTTCCTTCACTCTGTATTTCTCCTCCTTAATTATTTTCCACAAAATCTTTAACAAGATTTTCAATTTTTGCCCAGTTATAGCAAGTGAAGTGTGTAATATGAGACTCTGAGTGAGTCAATACAAACTTTCTCCAGCAATGGAATACCTGTCTATCGATGATATTTTCAATATTATTGGACAGTTTGGATGGAATCAAAGACTATACTGTATTGGCTTCAGTGTCCTGCAGTTCTTCTTAGCATTTCACATGCTTCTCAATGTCTTTACTGGTAGGTATAAATGTTAACTGGTATGTGTAGATGTTGATGGCTTGGTAGCCTTATTTGCATTCTTAATGTTGGGAGAGCACTTATTTTAACAATGGTGCAGGAAGCTTTAAAAACTTAGATTGTCTCTTAAATTCTTGTGGATTAAGGTTTTTAACTCTCTTTAATTTCTATTGTTGCTTGTATTAAATTATGCTGAAATGCAGCATATGATCACAATGTTCCCTTTGCTTGACTATTGTTAAAATAGCAGATTTCTGTGTACATTATTTTGGGTATTACATTTTAAGTTAGGTAAAAGCCTATGTAATAATTGTACTCACTTTTTATTGCCTAATTAATAGAGGTCAGAATGTTCTGGAGATTTTGTGCATTTAAGTATGTGAAAGCTTAAATATCGAGTGTGAGAGGGAGTGTGAGAGAGTGTGAGTGTGAGAGAGAGTGTGAGTGTGAGAGTGTGAGTGTGAGAGAGTGTGAGAGAGTGTGAGAGAGTGTGAGAGAGATGTGGGAGGGGGGGGAGGGAGAGAGTGGAGAGAGTGTGAGGAGGAGTGAGAGAGTGTGAGAGAGTGTGAGAGTGTGAGGTGAGAGAGAGTGTGAGAGATGTGAGAGAGAGTGAGAGATGGGAGAGAGAGCGTGAGAGAGAGAGTGTGAGAGAGTGAGTGTGAGAGAGTGAGTGTGAGAGAGTAGTGTGAGAGAGTGTGAGAGAGAGAGTGTGAGAGAGAGAGTGTGAGAGAGAGAGTGTGAGAGAGAGAGTGTGAGAGAGAGAGTGTGAGAGAGAGAGTGTGAGAGAGAGAGTGTGAGAGAGAAGTGTGAAGAGAGTGTGAGAGAGAGAGTGTGAGAGAGAGAGTGTGAGAGGAGAGTGTGAGAGAGAGATGAAGAGAGAGTGTGAGAGAGAGTGTGAGAGAGTGTGATGAGTGTGTAGGAGAGTGTGAGTGTGTGAGAGAGAGAGAGAATGTGAGAGAGAGTGTGATAGTGTGTGATAGTGTGTGTGTGTGTGATTGTGTGATTGTGTGTGTGTGTGTGTGTGTGTGTGTGTGTGTGTGTGTGTGTGTGTGTGTGTGTGTGCATGTGTGCGTGTGCATGGTGTGTGTGTGTGTGTGTTGTGTGTTGTGTGTGTGTGTGTAGGTGTAGGTGTGTGTGTAGGTGTGTGTGTGTAGGGATGGGCAAGGGCAGAAGTCCAAATATGAGATGAAACTAGGATAGTAACAATTAGTCTGAAGTTTAATAGTACATTTTTTTTATTAACACATCGGCCATTTCCCGCCATGGCAGGGTGGCCTGAAAAAGAAAAACTTTCATCATCATTCACTTCATCACTGTCTTGCCAGAGGTGCGCTTACACTACTTTTATAAAACTGCAGCATTAACACTCATCCTTCAGAGTACAGACACTGTACTTCCCAACTCCAGGACTCGAGTCCGGCCTGCCGGTTTTCCTGAATCCCTTCATAAGTGTTACCTTGCTCACAATCCAACACAAGGTTAAGTCCTAAAAACCATTTGTCTACATTTGCTCCTGTCTAAGATGCTCATGCAGGCTTACTGGAAGTCCAAGCCCCTAGCACACAAAACATCCTTTACCCCTTCCCTCCAACCTTTCCTAGGCCGACCCCTACTCCGCCTTCCCTCCACTACAGATTTATACACTCTCAAAGTCATTCTATTCCTTTCCATCTTCTCTGTATGTCCAAACCACCTCAGCAACCCCTCCTCAGCCCTCTGGATAATAGTTTTGGTAATCCCGCACCTCCTCCAAATCTCTAAACTATGGATTCTCTGCATTATATTCACACCACACATTGCCCTCAGACGTGATATCTGCACTGCCTCCAGCCTTCTCCTTGTTGCATCATTCACCACCCATATAAGAGTGTTGGTATAACTATACTCTCATACATAGTGCTCATGTTAAGGAAAATAATAAATGAAGAGTATCAGTGATGAGTAAAATCTGATGTAACCTTTTCTTGTTTTATCTCTCTGACTTCTCCCTGCCATTTGTATGAGTGAAGGAGGGAGGGGAATTCATATCTTATATTACAATCTTGCATTACAACTTTGTGGGATTTAATTAGTGTGTGTGGGCATCATTACCATTTAAAGATGTTAATGTGCTTCATTAGGTATGACAGTCAGATACTCTGGTGAAGAAATAAAATAGACAAGCGACTGATACAAATACAAATGTAATTTAATTCTTTTCTGTGGTATACAGGTAATGTAGTTTACATTTAATAAAATATTGTTAGGCACAAAAGAAAGTCACTAACATGCCATGCATTTCAGGCAGACTAATCCTAATGTTTAAAGACCACTTGAAAACTAGGTATGGGTTATTAAGTAAGAATTTTTAAATGTACAAATAGAGAGGTAGCATTAATACTTCAAACTGATTCAGTGATCTTTAGTTAAGTAGGATTTCTTAGTCAGTTTTAAACTGACTTGGTCTTCAGTTTATGGGACATTTGCAAGAGATAGTGAGGATACAGGAAGGTAGTTGGAAAGAGATAGTGAGGATACAGGAAGGTAGTTGGAAAGAGATAGCGAAGATACAGGAAGGTAGTTGGAAAGAGATAGTGAAGATACAGGAAGGTAGTTGGAAAGAGATAGTGAAGATACAGGAAGGTAGTTGGAAAGAGATAGTGAAGATACAGGAAGGTAGTTGGAAAGAGATAGTGAAGATACAGGAAGGTAATTGGATTGTCTGCACCTTGTACAAAATTTCACTAGTATAAATGCTTTGTCATATTCCAAATTGTAGCTTAAGTTACTTATCTGCTTCACATTTTCAAATTGCTTGTACACTATATTGTTACAGTAGATTTAAAGTTACAGCTTTTAATCATACTTTTCCTTTTTTCTCTGTAGACCATCTCTTGAAAGGAGCATTCTCATGTTTATGTTCTGCCTTCCTGGAGTGTTTTAATATATAGGATATTCAGTTGTATGTACAGTATGTTTGTGTGCACCTGAATGCATGCATGCATGCATAGTTTTATATGTATGAAGATTTAAATTATAATTCTGATCTAATAATTTATTTTTAAAATTGCATAAAGTTACCTGATTCTAGTATTTGTGTCTGGTGGACCTTACATTAATACAGTAGTTATAATATAACTTCTTCATTACTAATTTAGAAGCAGAGGGTAACTGCTTCATATATTGCAAACTACATCAGAAATAGCTTGGTATGTTATGAAAAGGGGCCTTGCTTTTTTTTTTATTAATTTCTTTGTTGCACTTTAATATTGAGTTACTTGTGTGTGTGCATAATGTTGGTTACAAATTTCTAGTAGATTTACACTTATGCTGGGTTATCATGGAAGGTTAATTATTAGTAAATTTGGTCAGCTGCAAGATTTTTAAGGTGGTGTGTAAAATGCATTTAAAAATAGAAAAATAACAAATCATTTAAAATAGCTTTTCACTGTGCTTTGTTACTTCTGAAATATATTCCATATCTTGAGTTAGTGAAGTATAGAAGTATTGTACATTCATTCTTAGATGATTTTTTTTTTCCATTTTGGAGGCAGTTCGTAGTATAATTTTCAGTTAACAAAGTTTGACTTAACTACAGCACTTTTATAATTTCAGCATAAGACTTACTGTTTTAACTGTTATCTTACAATCTTATGTTATTTTTTGCACAACTATTCAAAAGACTTCATTATATCAAGTTTATGTACTGTACTATACACGTATGAGAAGATTCTGATTAAGCTTATCAAACTGAATTTCAGACTCTGTCATAAGTAGTGCATTTGATTTTGAGAAAATGAAAAACTAATTTCTTGAATTTATTATAGCAAGTTAAAATTAATACTAGAATGAATTATGTATAAAATCTTTTACCTGAATGTGAAAGGTAGCAAATTTATTATAGCCTATTGTTGTCCAAGATTAGTTTTTTTTTCACAGGGATAAGCAAGTCATCAGGGAAATAATATACTGACCTTCTGTCATTACCCGGGTAGGAGGGCCAGATGCTCAAGCTATATTATAATCATCATGAAGTCATTGTTTTGTATGTAAGAGAACACCTATTTGTAATTACAAAAGCTTAGCTAATAATTATATAGGTAGTAGGTTGGTAAACAGCAACTGCCCAGGGAGGTACTACCGTCCTGCCAAGTGAGTGTAAAACGAATGCCTGTAATTGTTTTACATGATGGTAGGATTGCTGGTGTTTTTTGTCTCTCATAAACATACAAGATTTCAGGTACGTCTTGCTACTTCTACTTACACTTAGGTCACACTACACATACATTTACAAGCATATATATACACACCCCTCTGGGGTTTCTTCTATTTTCGTTCTAGTTCTTGTTCTTGTTTATTTCCTCTTATCTCCATGGGGAAGTGGAACAGAATTCTTCCTCCGTAAGCCATGCGTGTTGTAAGAGGCGACTAAAATGCCGGGAGCAACGGGCTAGTAACCCCTTCTCCTGTATAAATTACTAAATTTGAAAAGAGAAACTTTTGTTTTTCTTTTTGTTCCACCCTGCCTCGGTGGGATACAGCCAGTTTGTTGAAAGAGAGAAAGAGCTAATAATTATTTATTATTTTATTATCACACTGGCCGATTCCCACCAAGGCAGGGTGGCCCGAAAAAGAAAAACTTTCACCATCATTCACTCCATCACTGTCTTGCCAGAAGGGTGCTTTACACTACAGTTTTTAAACTGCAACATTAACACCCCTCCTTCAGAGTACAGGCACTGTACTTCCCATCTCCAGGACTCAAGTCCGGCCTGCCGGTTTCCCTGAACCCCTTCATAAATGTTACTTTGCTCACACTCCAACAGCACGTCAAGTATTAAAAACCATTTGTCTCCATTCACTCCTATCAAACACGCTCACGCATGCCTGCTGGAAGTCCAAGCCCCTCGCACACAAAACCTCCTTTACCCCCTCCCTCCAACCTTTCCTAGGCCGACCCCTACCCCGCCTTCCTTCCACTACAGACTGATACACTCTTGAAGTTATTCTGTTTCGCTCCATTCTCTCCACATGTTCGAACCACCTCAACAACCCTTCCTCAGCCCTCTGGACAACAGTTTTGGTAATCCCGCACCTCCTCCTAACTTCCAAACTACGAATTCTCTGCATTATATTCACACCACACATTGCTCTCAGACATGACATCTCCACTGCCTCCAGCCTTCTCCTCGCTGCAACATTCATCACCCATGCTTCACACCCATATAAGAGCGTTGGTAAAACTATACTCTCATACATTCCCCTCTTTGCCTCCAAGGACAAAGTTCTTTGTCTCAGAGACTCCTAAGTGCACCACTCACCCTTTTCCCCTCATCAATTCTATGATTCACCTCATCTTTCATAGACCCATCCGCTGACACGTCCACTCCCAAATATCTGAATACATTCACCTCCTCCATAATAATTAGTCTCATGATAATCTATCTTAGGTGTTTAATCTAGCATATAACTTTCCTTTAATTTTCAATGGTAGCCCATACTGCCTGCTCTGTATTCTGTTCTGTCGTTCTACCGCTCATTGAAAACGTATTTTCTAGAGTTCTTTCAAAACTGAATTTTCTTCAATTTATGACTATACTCTCTTGTTCTCCCTGAAGGTGGTACTAAAAAGTCTTTAATTTTTGTCTTTTTTACACCCTCATACTGTATGTGGTTTTTATGTCTTCCTTTTAATCTTGTTAGGTATTTTAGTGTTTTCATGATTTTTATATTCAGGCACACAAATCACTTCTAACTTTTCCAAGTCTGGCCTACTATAGGTTGTGTACAGAACAGCTTCTTCACATATAGGTGAATACAAATAGGAAGCACATCTGTCTCGCACTTGGCAGACGGAGGATCAAGCCTTCACTTTTTGCACTGAATGATTCACATGGGTTTAATACTTATGTGAATTAGTAAAATATTAAATAGCTTCTTCAGCATTTCTTCATCCTATCTCTGAAGGCCATTTTAATTAAAATGTGAGTTTTCTGTAATTTACAAGTTTTTTTTCTTCCATTAACTGTAATTGTTATTCCTGCCTTTGGTATTACAGAAGAATTTAAAATTGCATTAAAATTTTGGTAGTCTCTGAATTGTTAATTTTGTCTTGTTGGTATTGCTTGTCATTGCATTAAGCCTGTCATTAGTATTCTAGTATATGAATTGCTTTGAATGAATGAATGAATGAATGTAAATGTGCTTTCTACTTTGGGTCATCTTGCTTTTGTGGGAGAGCCATTCACTTAACCTGTAAACGGTCCAGCAGATCTGCGTTCACGTGTAGTGCTACAAAAGTAGATCTACGTTTTTTTTACATATTTTCAAATATAACAAAAAAAAAAAAAAGTAGATCAAAGTTTTTTTACACATTTTCAAATGTAAAAAAAAACAAAAAGATCATCTACTTTTTTTTACATACTTTCAAATGTTGAAAAAACGTATATATACGTTTGGACCATTTAAGGGTTAAAAAAGAAATTGCATCAACCCTGTCATTGCTATTGTCTAATTGCAATAGCTCTATCTTTATGTATGTGCTTATATGCTAATCCTGTTTGAACATTGTCACTGCATGACTGTTAGATTTAAATTGTCTTGATAATGTTATTGTAACTTTTTGTTAAAATTATTATATGGTATTATGAGGTAAATAGATGAAGTATGAATAATGTGAAAGCTTAGTGAAGCTGAAGAATATAGCTGGTCAACACAATAAATGAATGAAAGTATTGGTTGTGATTGTTGGCCCAAAAAGATATAAAAGAGGCATTTAGAAAGCAGACTTGAGAGAGAGAGAGAGAGAGAGATGTCATGATATTGAAAGTAGATAGATCGTGAAATTAGTAATGTTGATGTAGTGTAAGTATACTGAACATTTCTTCACATGTTACATCATTAAAAGGAGGTGCACATAATAGTGTGGTCAATACAGTAATAAAAAAATTGTATAATAAAGGAATGTGTTTCCTTCTTTGGGGATTACGTATGACTGCAAAAAATTGACATTGAGATTACTGATTTCATGAAGATGGTTGGCATGTTGATAAAGTATAATCACATTGCTCTAGGAGACGAAATGGTGGCATTGTGAACAGATGTTATGTGAATCAGATGTATAATATGACTATCAAATAGATTGTTATACAGGATTTGTATCATGATGAGAAAAATTTGTGATATCAATAGGGAAGAATGTATGGGCTATAAGCAATAGCAACCTGTTAAGTGGGATGAAGTTTGTTTGTCCAGAGAAGTCTTCTGATGAATTCACTAGATATTGAGGAACTACAAAAAATATATACATGTGGGTAGCCTGAGAGAAAATGTAAATATAATTATAAAAATAGTTAGAAAATGGTTTGGTTGATCAGAAGACAGAAACGATGTATGTGTGAATACTTCTTTCTTTCAACACACCGGCCGTATCCCACCGAGGCGGGGTGGCCCAAAAGGAAAAACGAAAGTTTCTCCTTTTACATTTAGTAATATATACAGGAGAAGAGGTTACTAGCCCCTTGCTCCCGGCATTTTAGTTGCCTCTTACAACACGCATGGCTTACGGAGGAAGAATTCTGTTCCACTTCCCCATGGAGATAAGAGGAAATAAACAAGAATAAGAACTAGAAAGAAAATAGAAGAAAACCCAGAGGGGTGTGTATATATGTGCTTGTACATGTATGTGTAGTGTGACCTAAGTGTAAGTAGAAGTAGCAAGACGTACCTGAAATCTTGCATGTTCATGAGACAGAAAAAAGGACACCAGCAATCCTACCATCATGAATACTTGTAGTGTATTAATAGAAAAACATAGATGAATAGCCAAGATTTTAAAGATAACTGTGATATTTAGTACTACATATAAGAAAGTTTTTCAGTTTCATAATGGTAATGCTGTCTGTACCAAATATTATTTTACAGTTATATATTAGCTTCAGAAAGTAGATAGAATGAATGACAAGAATTTTGTTGATCAGGTAATTAGAATGTGTGTGGATTGAAAAATGTGCGTAGAGAATCAGAAGCTCTCCAAAGACAAGAGTACTAATCTGTTTCTTAGCACCTGTGATATGAGTAGATCTGGAGAGAAGTACCTGGTAGAAATATGCTTATATATCTTGGCATGCTTTTTTTTCTTCTTCCCAGGAAATAAAAAGTAAGGTGTTGATTTTACTGATGAAAATTCTTGTCATTCATTGTGTGTGTATGTGAATGATCAGTAACTTTGGCTTTGTGTAGCATGTTAAATATTGTAATTATAATATTCAGCTCAATTCAAGTTCTTTGATAGTCTGTGTATACAATCTTTATAATGATTGATAAACATGGTAGATTTAGCTTCAGAAGCTTATATTTTTTTTTATATAACTCAATACCAGGTTTGGACCCAACATTCAAGTGCTTTGCCAGAGATGGAAGCTCCAAGAATGAACCACTCATCAACCAGTGTATTGAGGACACGCCTCAAAAATGCTCACTTACCTATACGACAGAGTACAAATCTTTTGCATCCGAGGTTAGTCAGTTTGTGCATGTATTTTTTAACTTGTACGATCATGTGTGCATTGACTTAACTGTGTTTCTGGGGCATTAAGCCCCTGTTCCTGGACCCCACTTATTAACAATCAACCAACTAGTGTAATGTATCCCCATCAGCTCTTATTATATTATTGCTTATAAATAAATAATGGTAGGATTGCTGATGTCTTTTTTCTGTCTCATAAACATGCAAGGTTTCAGGTACGTCTTGTTACTTCTACTTAGACTTAGGTCACACTGCACATGCAGAGACAAGCATAAACTATATACACACACACACCCCTCTGGGTTTTCTTCTCCTTCCTTACTAGTTCATATTCTTGTTTATTTCCACTTATCTCCGTGGGAAAGTGGAACAGAATTCTTCCTCCATGAGCCATGCTTGTTGTAAGAGGCGACTGAAATGCTGAGAGCAAGGGGCTAGTAACCCCTTCGTTTGTATATATTACTAAATTTAAAAGGAGAAACTTTTGTTTTTCCTTATTGGGCCACCCTGCCTCAGTGGGATATGGCTGGTTTGTTGAAAGAAGAAATAGATAAATAAATGCATATTTTCCAAGAAGATGCATTTGTTACAGAGATGGGTTTACATTGGTTGTGTCTTAAATACAAAAGCCTATAGTTATTCAAAGCATTTTGGGCAGACTGAAATTAGAATTTAAAAGCACATGACATTGAATAGTTTAAGCTAGATTATTTGAATGGCAAGTTTAAACATAACTATCTGGAGATAAATAAGGTTATTTATTATTTTTTTTTTTTATTATCACACTGGCCGATTCCCACCAAGGCAGGGTGGCCCGAAAAAGAAAAACTTTCACCATCATTCACTCCATCACTGTCTTGCCAGAAGGGTGCTTTACACTACAGTTTTTAAACTGCAACATTAACACCCCTCCTTCAGAGTGCAGGCACTGTACTTCCCATCTCCAGGACTCAAGTCCGGTCTGCCGGTTTCCCTGAACCCCTTCATAAATGTTACTTTGCTCACACTCCAACAGCACGTCAAGTATTAAAAACCATTTGTCTCCAGTCACTCCTATCAAACACGCTCACGCATGCCTGCTGGAAGTCCAAGCCCCTCGCACACAAAACCTTTACCCCCTCTCTCCAACCTTTCCTAGGCCGACCCCTACCCCGCCTTCCTTCCACTACAGACTGATACACTCTTGAAGGCATTCTGTTTCGCTCCATTCTCTCTACATGTCCGAACCACCTCAACAACCCTTCCTCAGCCCTCTGGACAACAGTTTTGGTAATCCCGCACCTCCTCCTAACTTCCAAACTACGAATTCTCTGCATTATATTCACACCACACATTGCTCTCAGACATGACATCTCCACTGCCTCCACCCTTCTCCTCGCTGCAACATTCATCACCCATGCTTCACACCCATATAAGAGCGTTGGTAAAACTATACTCTCATACATTCCCTTCTTTGCCTCCAAGGACAAAGTTCTTTGTCTCCACAGACTCCTAAGTGCACCACTCACTCTTTTCCCCTCATCAATTCTATGATTCACCTCATCTTTCATAGACCCATCCGCTGACACGTCCACTCCCAAATATCTGAATACATTCACCTCCTCCATACTCTCTCCCTCCAATCTGATATCCAATCTTTCATCACCTAATCTTTTTGTTATCCTCATAACCTTACTCTTTCCTGTATTCACCTTTAATTTTCTTCTTTTGCACACCCTACCAAATTCATCCACCAATCTCTGCAACTTCTCTTCAGAATCTCCCAAGAGCACAGTGTCATCAGCAAAGAGCAGTTGTGACAACTCCCACTTTGTGTGTGATTCTTTATCTTTTAACTCCACGCCTCTTACCAAGACCCTCACATTTACTTCTCTTACAACCCCATCTATAAATATATTAAACAACCAGGGTGACATCACACATCCTTGTCTAAGGCCTACTTTTACTGGGAAATAATTTTCCTCTTTCCTACATACTCTAACTTGAACCTCACTATCCTCGTAAAAACTCTTCACTGCTTTCAGTAACCTACCTCCTACACCATACACTTGCAACATCTGCCACATTGCCCCCCTATCCACCCTGTCATACGCCTTTTCCAAATCCATAAATGCCACAAAGACCTCTTTAGCCTTATCTAAATACTGTTCACTTATATGTTTCACTGTAAACACCTGGTCCACACACCCCATACCTTTCCTAAAGCCTCCTTGTTCATCTGCTATCCTATTCTCCGTCTTACTCTTAATTCTTTCAATAATAACTCTACCATACACTTTATCAGGTATACTCAGCAGACTTATCCCCCTATAATTTTTGCACTCTCTTTTATCCCCTTTGCCTTTATACAAAGGAACTATGCATGCTCTCTGCCAATCCCTAGGTACCTTACCCTCTTCCATACATTTATTAAATAATTGCACCAACCACTCCAAAACTATATCCCCACCTGCTTTTAACATTTCTATCTTTATCCCATCAATCCCGGCTGCCTTACCCCCTTTCATTTTACCTACTGCCTCATGAACTTCCCCACACTCACAACTGGCTCTTCCTCACTCCCACAAGATGTTATTCCTCCTTGTCCTATACACGAAATCACAGCTTCCCTATCTTCATCAACATTTAACAATTCCTCAAAATATTCCCTCCATCTTCCCAATACCTCTAACTCTCCATTTAATAACTCTCCTCTCCTATTTTTAACTGACAAATCCATTTGTTCTCTAGGCTTTCTTAACTTGTTAATCTCACTCCAAAACTTTTTCTTATTTTCAACAAAATTTGTTGATAACATCTCACCCACTCTCTCATTTGCTGTCTTTTTACATTGCTTCACCACTCTCTTAACCTCTCTCTTTTTCTCCATATACTCTTCTCTCCTTGCATCACTTCTACTTTGTAAAAACTTCTCATATGCTAACTTTTTCTCCCTTACTACTCTCTTTACATCATCATTCCACCAATCGCTCCTCTTCCCTCCCGCACCCACTTTCCTGTAACCACAAACTTCTGCTGAACACTCTAACACTACATAAGGTTATTAACTGCAATTATCATTCCAAGTAACAAAACTGTAAGTTAAAATAGCAGTGTTAATATTGAAGGGACAGTAATACAAAACATTAATGACAATTTTATACATTTTTTAGGGAGGGGAATGGGGGGAAGTAGAAATATAGTGGAGACAAGAAGTGTATGAGTACAAATGCTGATGGAAATCTGGATTGCATTAGGCTGCATTAGATAAACAGGTATTTGACAATTATATTTAATCTTCATAAATTTACATGAAATCTAGGTACCTTTTGAAGCAGTTGGCAGATGGGGTATTTTTAGAATCATCTGGTAGAGCATTCCATATTTTTTGGGGGCCTTCCATTTGCATGGAGGTTTCTGCACCGGTTGAGCTAAACATGGGATATCAGGGGTATTTGTTTCTTATGTTGTGTTCTATGTATTCTGTTGCAGTGCTCTAAGAAGAGCTTTAGAACTGGGTTTATATTTGTATGAAGCATCATTAGTATATAATATGCACACAAGTAAATGTGAATGTTTTTTATTGAATAAGTTTAAATTTTTAATAGGGGGTGGTGGTGTTTGGAACCTAATGAGTTATCATTTACATAGTAGATATTTGGTGAATTACAATGATTTTAGATAATTTGCTGTTGTAGATCCCCATGCACAGATAGATAATAGTAGAACTTTGTGAGTAATAAGTTTGAGGTACATAGGAATGTATTTTATAAAAAATGGCCACTGTTTTGGAAATTATCATAGATTTACACTGAATCTGAGCATTGAATTTTAGTTTGCTGTCAAGCTGTTGGTGTTGAAATGTCTTTTATGTCTCTGGTTAATTTTTGGTGTTTGCATTTATAACCACTTATCTTGGCCACACCTCTTTCAAAGAATCTTAACGTGTTCTTTGAGCTTTTTGTTTTCCAGTGTTATTAAATTTAGTTCTTCGAGTCTTTCCTCAAAGGCCTTTAATCTGTATCATTATTGGAGCCATAGTAAGGTTTATATTCTTGAAATAGTTATTAAGATGGTGTTTATTTTATTGTAATAGTGTATAAGCTTTGGTATTTCCACAGTGGAACTTAATATGCAACGAAAAATATAAAGTGGCTCTAGTGCAATCAATATGGATGGGAGGGGTGATGACAGGGGCCCTCGTGCTGGGTGGTGTGGCTGATGTAATAGGACGACTGAAGACACTCATGATGGCACTCTTAGGAACTATAGCCTTTGAGGGCTTTAGTGCCTTTGCTCCAACATTAGTGGTCATGGCAATGTTGCGGTAAGTATTATTTTTTAAGATTTTGTTTGATAATTTTGGAAATGTGAAACATTTTTCTTTATTTTATTCATATGTAATTTATGTTGATTGGCTTAATCTTTCATAAACTGTATTGTAATTTAATTATGGAATTTTTGAGGCAATATTTTAAAAGACACAAAATAATGTTAAATATAATTTTCAGCTACCTAGGAGGAATCTGCTGTGCGTTGGTAATCCTTGTGAGCTTTGTCTTCTCGCAAGAGTTGGTTGGTATGGATTGGAGAAGCTTTTGTGGCATTTTTATAGCTATGTCATTTGCTGTTGGAATAGGTGTGTTCTCTGCATTAGCATCAGTAATGGACACATGGAGAACTTTGACATTTATTTGCTCTGTCTCTGGGATAGTGTTCTTAATTCTTCCCTGGTATGTATTAAGTTTATTTATTTCAATTTATTCATTGAGAAAACTTTCTATAAAAGAACATTGTAGCTAATTGGAAGTATTGAGAGAAAAAAATTGTTGAATAACATTTTAAACACAGTAATTGGTGCTCTTCTAGCTACATTCCTGAGAGCCCACGTTGGCTTGCCTCCCAGGGAAGAAATGATGAAGCAAAAGAGATCTTAGAGGGAATGGCCCGGAGAAATGGAAAATTTAGCAATCTCCCAACTAATTGGGAGATTTCAGTTACTGGCAACAGCAAAGATGAGAGTGACAAGAAGCCACAGGGAGTTGGTCTCTTGGTTAGCCATCCCTATGTCCTCCTCCTTACACTTATTCAGATATATTCCTGGTAAGGCTTTTATTTGTATGTTATATTTACTGAATAGTGCCATAGGTATGTGTATATGTGATTATCTATTTGTAGTGTAAGGAGCGCAGTTATTCTTATGTCTGATCTCTAGTATTTAATTTGTAATATAGATTTGCTTAAGGTTTTTAGTGTTTATAGCACACAGCTATTTTTAAGCTCTCTACTACTATATAAAACATTTTATAGAGTTTTTTATTGTTTTTTTTATATTGGCTAATTCTCATGGTGTCTGAACAACACAGTGTTTAGGGCTTTTCAACTGTGCTTAGTTTCATGAGGGGTGGTGCACAGCACTGGTGTTTAAGGTAACCACTGGTGCACCCTGATTAACCACAATGTAATCCACATTTACTGTCCCTCACCATATTGATCCATGCTTTTTAACAGAAAGTAGGAGTAAATACACAACTTTCAGATTGCATTTTTACTGTACAGTAGTCGTAATGAAAATGTTGGCATATTTTCAGGGATTCATGTTATTAAATCAATGGGAAAACAGGCCTCATATGCTAAATTGACCTGTTTTTACCTTTTTAAGTGCATAGTATTTTTTTTTTTAACCCTTTCAGGGTCCGTCCCGTAGATCTACGGCTTTACGTTCAGGGTCCAAACCGTAGATCTACGCCATGAGCTCAGCTCACTCTGATAAACTGTGAGTGGTACATTTGGGCCTAGATATGAGAGAATACATCTATGTGGTATGTGTGCACCACATAAAACAGATCCTGCAGCACACTGTGTATAATGAGAGAAAAAAAATGAAATCATGATTTTTCGATTAAAACAGCAACTTTGCAGTGTTTTTTCGTATGTTTTTTATAGTTGTATTTGCGATTTCTTGGTCTCATTTGATAGAATGGAAGACATATTACAGAAATAGAGATGATTTTGATTGGTTTTAGCACTGGAAATGGCTTGAAACTGAGCTCAAAGTAGCAGAAATGTTAAATTTTTGCCGATATTCAAGAGTAAACAAACGACCTCACACGTCTAATATACGTCAGCTGGTGGGTCTAATATACATTCACAAATATGGTGATGATATTTATACAATTATTACAGTATTGCATAACAGTAAATCTTCTATTTTTTGGTGTGAATAAAAATTCATTATGTGAATAAAAAATCAAAATGGAATTTATTTGTAAAGCCTCAAAACATAACTAATGAACAGAGGAAATGTTAGTTTAGTGCCAGGAATGCCTACATTGTTCATTCTGGACCCTATTTTGAAATTGGAATATTTTGAACTTTGTGTTAAATTGGCCAAATTAACAATTTCCGATCACTTTATTTTGTAGTTGAAACAGTTGACTTGGCGATTTCTTGTGCTCAATCGATAGAATAGAAGTAATACTAGTGAAATAGCTAAGAATTTGGTTGATTGGAATAATGTAATTGGCCTAAAATGGGAGTCAAAGTCGGCAAAATCGCCGATTCGTAAATATCGCTGACACATCAAAATTCGCGAGAGCATAATTTCGTCAATTTTCCACCAAATTTCATACTTTTTGTTTTATTACCTTCACAAAAAGATTCTCTACGATTTCATAAGAAAAAATAATTTTTTTTTTTGAAAATTCTTGGACACTGGTGCGTGACTCCAGATTTGGGCCTTGGACCCTGAAAGGGTTAACAAGTCGGCCGTCTCCCACCGAGGCAGGGTGACCCAAAAAGAAAAAATCCCCAAAAAGAAAATACTTTCATCATTCAACACTTTCACCTCACTCACACATAATCACTGTTTTTGTAGAGGTGCTCAGAATACAACAGCTTAGAAGCATATACGTATAAAGATACACAACATATCCCTCCAAACTGCCAATATCCCGAACCCCGCCTTTAGAGTGCAGGCATCGTACGTCCCATTTCCAGGACTCAAGTCCGGCTGTATAAAAATATTATTTATCAGCAAGAAAAAATAGTATTAGTGATTTTTAAGGCATTTTGAAAATCCACCTGAAAAGGGCAGAAAACACTGAACTATAATCCAGTGATTTTTTTAATGTGAAAAACCTTCTTTACTAGAAATGGGAAATAGGCATGATGGAAACATTTGTTGGATCAAATATTTCCCCCAACTGTAAAAAAAGTCCTTTATATATAAGTTTCATTGAGGGTTATAGTAGTTTTGATGAGAACATTGGCATGCTATAATGGCTCACATGGTGAATTGAGAGGGAAAACACAGCTCTTATGTTAAAATTCTGCGCTTACCTTTTTAAGTGCATATTCTTAACCCTTTCAGGGTCCGTGCCGTAGTTCTACGGCTTTGAGTTGAGGGTCCAAACCGTAGATCTACGCCATGAGCTCAGCTCACTCTGATAAGCTGTGAGCAATAAATTTTGGCCTTGATATGAGAGAATACATCTATGTGGTATGTGTGCACCACATACAACAAATCCTGCAGCACACAGTGCATAATGAGAAAAAAAAAGCTGAGACCATAATTTTCAATTAAAACAGCAACTTTGCAGTGTTTTTTCATATGTTTTTTATAGTTGTATTTGCGAGTTCTTGGTCTCATTTGATAGAATGGAAGATATAATACAGAAATAAGGGATGATTTTTGATTGGTTTTAGTATTGGAAATAGCTTGAAACTGAGCTCAAAGTGTCAGAAATGTTAATTTTTTGCTGATGTTCAAGAGTAAACAAATGACCTCACACGTCTAATACACGCCTGCTGGTGGGTCTAACATACGTTCACAAATATGCTGATATTATTTATACAATTATTACAATATTGCATAACAGTAAGTCTTCTATTTTTTGGTTTGAATAAAAATTCATTGTGAATAAAAAAATAAAAATGGAATTCATTTATAAAGCCTGAAAACATAACTAATGAACAGAGGAAATGTTAGTTTAGTGCCAGGAAAGCCTGCATGGTTTATTCTGGACCCTGTTTTGAAATTGGAATATTTTGAACTTTGCGCTAAATTGGCCAAATTACCAATTTCCGATCACTTCATTTTGTAGTTGAAACAGTTAACCTGGCGATTTCTTGTGCTCAATCAATAGAATAGAAGTAATACTAGTGAAATAGCTAAGAACTTGATCGACTGGAATAGTGTAATTGGCCTAAAATGGGAGTCAAAGTCATCAAAATTGCCGACGCGTAAATATCGCTGACACATCAAAATTCGCAAGAGCATAATTCCGTCAATTTTCCATCAAATTTCATACTTTTTGTTTTATTACCTTCAGAAAAAGATTCACTACCATTTCATAAGAAAAAATAACAAAATTATTTTTGAAAATTCTTGGACCCTGGTGCACACTTTGAAATTTGGGCTCTGGACCCTGAAAGGGCTAATCAGCATTAAAAATAATACCCCCGACTTATTTAAAAAAAAAACTTGAGAATCCACCCGAAAATGACTAAAAACGCTGAACTATTAGTCCAGTGATTTTTTTGGGTAAAAAACTTTTTTTTCTAAAAATGAAAAATAAGCATAATGAAACTGTGTAGATCAATTCCCACATGTGAAAAATCCTGTATATGTGGGTTTCTTTGAAGATTGGATGAGAATGTTGGCATCCTCTATCAGGGCTTCACAAATGAAAAACAGGGTTTTGTATCCTGCTAAAATGACCTGTTTTACCTTGTTAATCATAAAAATGAGTACCCCTGGTGTGATTTTAAGTAATTTTGAAAATCCACCTGAAAAATTGCTAAAAAAAAAAAAAAAAAAAAACTCTCTCTACAAATGGGAAATAGGCATGATGGAACTGCTTGTTGAATAAATTACTTTTGACAAATGTGAGAAAATCCTGTATATAAAAATTTCATTGAAAGTTATAGTAGTTTTACTGTGAAAGTTTGCATGCTTTAAGATGGCTTCTGATCCTTGTGGGTTTAGTGCTTAATTTTGATTTAACAGGGTTTCACACAAAATTAGAGGGAGAACAGGTCCTCATATCATGCTAAAATGATCTGATTTTGCCTTTGTAAGTGCAGATTCTTCATAAACATAAAACATAGTACTCCACTTTTAGGCTGATACCAGTACCACTGAAATTAGCAGATACCACCGATACTGTACTTATCTATCTCTGTAGCCATTTTATCTTTAAACCTTTGTACACTGATATGCTTACTGATACATTCACCATTGATTTTGGGTCTACAGGTTTGTCAACAGTGCAACATATTATGGTCTTACCATTGCTGCTAGCAACCTAGGGGGTGATGCTTACGTGTCAACAGCTTTGAGTGGTCTCATTGAAATCCCGGCTTGCGTCGTTGCCATTGGTATCATTGACAGGTATGTAGTTTTGCTCTGGAGTGTTACTACTGCATGTAGTGTTAGCCCCTGTCACTGGTACTAGAACTTTATTTGTACTCCAAGATTTATTACGGTAAAAATAGTCCTGAAATCTGTCTTGTATTATTCTTGTTATTGTCATTTCCTTTCATGTCGTCTACACAGATTAACTCTAGTATGTGAAGATAACTTGGTAATGTAATGGTACTTAGAAACACTTCATTCATGAATCTCATTTACAGTAAAGGTCTTTTCAGCAAACCTGTTAAGTTATTACACTATTTTGAGGTTCTCTTCCATTTTTCTTTTTGATGTAAATTTGATGACACTGATTAATTACCTGTTTGCAGTTACAGAAGCAAAGCTTTGCTCGTAGTGTCCTGTGTTCAATAATTTTTCGTCATATAATTTGTTGAAATCTCCATGGGTTGTAGGACTTGCTATCCTGTTTCCATTCATTCCATTATTCCGCCACTTTTTACAAAGAATTTTTTTTTAATCCTCTTTGCTCTGTTTTTTCTTAAAACTGTGGCCTTCTGTTATTCCTGTTAAAAGAACTAAATGAACTTTACCTCTCTCTTCATATTCCCTTAAGGGAAGTTCCTAAAGAACTAGTCTGAATTCCTTCCATTCCCCAGGTACTGTATGACCACTATGGGTTTAGCACTCCCTAGGGGTCGTCCTTGAAAAGGTTGGAAGGAAGGGGTAAGGGAGGTGTTGTGGGCGGGGGGCTTGGACTTCCAGCTGGCATGCATGAGCGTGTTTGATAGGAATGAATGGAGACGAATGGTATTTGGGACCTGACGATCTGTTGGAGTGTGATTCAGGAGTGGGATTCAGGGAAACCGGTTATTTTTATATAGCCGGACTTGAGTCCTGGAAATGGGAAGTACAATGCTTGCACTCTAAAGGAGGGGTTCGGGATATTAGCAGTTTGGAGGGATATGTTGTGTATCTTTATATGTATATGCTTCTAAACTGTTGTGTTCTGAGCACCTCTGCAAAAACAGTGATTATTAACGTTATTATTATTATTATTATTATTATTAGGAAAGAGAAATGATTGGTGGAATGATGAAGTAAAGGGTGTGATAAAAGAGAAAAAGTTAGCTTGTGAGAGGTTTTAACAAAGCAGAAGTGTTATAAGAAGAGTAGAGTATGTATATGGAGAGTAAAAGAAAGGTGAAGAGAGTGGTGAGAGAGTGCAAAAGGAGAGCAGATGATAGAGTGGGAGAGGCACTGTCAAGAAATTTTAATGAAAATAAGAAAAAATTTTGGAGTTAAACAAGTTAAGAAAGCCTAGGGAACGTATGGATTTGTCAGTTAAAAACAGAGTAGGGGAGCTGGTAGAAGGGGAGAGGGAGGTATTAGGTAGATGGCGAGAATATTTTGAGGAAACTTTAAATGTTGAGGAAGAAATTGAGGCGTTAATTGCATGCACTAGCCAGGGAGGTATACCATCTTTTAGGAGTGAAGAAGAGCAGAATGTAAGTGTGGTGGAGGTACGTGAGGCATTACGTAGAATGAAAGGGGGTAAAGCAGCTGGAACTGATGGGATCATGACAGAAATGTTAAAAGCAGGGGGGGATATAGTGTTGGAGTGGTTGGTACTTTTGTTTAATAAATGTATGAAAGAGGGGAAGGTACCTAGGGATTGGCAGAGAGCATGTATAGTCCCTTTATATAAAGGGAAGGGGGACAAAAGAGATTGTAAAAATTATAGAGGAATAAGTTTACTGAGTATACCAGGAAAAGTGTATGGTAGGGTTATTATTGAAAGAATTAGAGGCAAGACAGAATGTAGGATTGCGGATGAGCAAGGAGGTTGCAGAGTGGGTAGGGGATGTGTAGATCAAGATTACCTGGAGAGAGTTCCGGGGGTCAACTCCCCCGCGGCCCGGTCTGTGACCAGGCCTCCTGGTGGATCAGAGCCTGATCAACCAGGCTGTTGCTGCTGGCTGCACGCAAACCAACGTACAAGCCACAGCCCGGCTGATCAGGAACTGACTTTAGGTGCTTGTCCAGTGCCAGCTTGAAGACTGCCAGGGGTCTGTTGGTAATCCCCCTTATGTGTGCTGGGAGGCAGTTGAACAGTCTCGGGCCCCTGACACTTATTGTATGGTCTCTTAACGTGGTAGTGACACCCCTGCTTTTCATTGGGGGGATGGTGCATCGTCTGCCAAGTCTTTTGCTTTCGTAGTGAGTGATTTTCGTGTGCAAGTTCGGTACTAGTCCCTCTAGGATTTTCCAGGTGTATATAATCATGTATCTCTCCCTCCTGCATTCCAGGGAATACAGGTTTAGGAACCTCAAGCGCTCCCAGTAATTGAGGTGTTTTATCTCCGTTATGCGCGCCGTGAAGGTTCTCTGTACATTTTCTAGGTCAGCAATTTCACCTGCCTTGAAAGGTGCTGTTAGTGTGCAGCAATATTCCAGCCTAGATAGAACAAGTGACCTGAAGAGTGTCATCATGGGCTTGGCCTCCCTAGTTTTGAAGGTTCTCATTATCCATCCTGTCATTTTTCTAGCAGATGCGATTGATACAATGTTATGGTCCTTGAAGGTGAGATCCTCCGACAAGTGTTTACATTGAAGCATATATGTGAACAGTATTTAGATAAAGGTAGGGAAGGCCTGGTCACAGACCGGGCCGCGGGGGCGTTGACCCCCGAAACTCTCTCCAGGTAAACTCCAGGAAGTTTTTATTGCATTTATGGATTTAGAAAAGGCATATGAAAGAGTGGATAGGGGAGCAATGTGGCAGATGTTGCAAGTATATGGAATAGGTGGTAAGTTACTAAATGCTGTAAAGAGTTTTTATGAGGATAGTGAGGCTCAGGTTAGGGTGTGTAGAAGAGGGGGAGACTACTTCCCGGTAAAAGTAGGTCTTAGACAGGGATGTGTAATGTCACCATGGTTGTTTAATATATTTATAGATGGGGTTGTAAAAGAAGTAAATGCTAGGGTGTTCGGGAGAGGGGTGGGATTAAATTTTGGGGAATCAAATTCAAAATGGGAATTGACACAGTTACTTTTTGCTGATGATACTGTTCTTATGGGAGATTCTAAAGAAAAATTGCAAAGGTTAGTGGATGAGTTTGGGAATGTGTGTAAAGGTAGAAAGTTGAAAGTGAACATAGAAAAGAGTAAGGTGATGAGGGTATCAAATGATTTAGATAAAGAAAAATTGGATATCAAATTGGGGAGGAGGAGTATGGAAGAAGTAAATGTTTTCAGATACTTGGGAGTTGACGTGTCAGCGGATGGATTTATGAAGGATGAGGTTAATCATAGAATTGATGGGGGAAAAAAGGCGAGTGGTGCGTTGAGGTATATGTGGAGTCAAAAAACGTTATCTATGGAGGCAAAGAAGGGAATTTATGGAAGTATAGTAGTACCAACACTCTTATATGGGTGTGAAGCTTGGGTTGTGAATGCAGCAGCGAGGAGGCAGTTGGAGGCAGTGGAGATGTCCTGTCTAAGGGCAATGTGCGGTGTAAATATGCAGAAAATTCGGAGTGTGAAAATTAGAAGAAGGTGTGGAGTTAATAAAAGTATTAGTCAGAGGGCTGAGGAGGGGTTGTTGAGGTGGTTTGGTCATTTAGAGCAGATGGATCAAAGTAGAATGACATGGAGAGCATTTAAATCTGTAGAAGGAAGGAAGGTGGGGTAGGGGTCGTGCTCGAAAAGGTTGGAAGGAAGGGGTAAGGGAGGTTTTGTGGGCGAGGGGCTTGGACTTCCAGCAGGCGTGCATGAGTGTGTTCGATAGGAGTGAATGGAGACGAATGGTATTTGGGACCTGACGATCTGTTGGAGTGTGAACAGGGTAATATTTAGTGAAGGGATTCAGGGATTCAAATAGAGTTAGAGCTAAAGAAGGAGTAGCAATAATGTTGAAGGATAAGCTATGGCAGGAAAAGAGGGACTATAAATGTATTAATTCAAGGATTATGTGGAGTAAAATAAAGATTGGATGTGAAAAGTGGGTTATAATAAGCGTGTATGCACCTGGAGAAGAGAGAAGTGTAGAGGAGAGAGAGAGATTTTGGGAAATGTTGAGTGAATGCGTGGGAGTTTTGAATCAAGTGTGAGAGTATGGTGGTTGGGGATTAATGCTAAAGTGGGTAAAAATGTTATGGAGGGAGTAGTAGGTAAATTGGGTGCCAGGGGGAAAAATAAATGGGGAGCCTTTAATTAT